CCTTCACCTTCACCTTGTCCTTCACCTTGTCCTTCACCTTCACCTTCACCTTCACACTCACCTTCACCTTCACCTTCACCATCATCATTGGGGATTAAGTTTTAAGTTTACAAAGATTTAGGAATTTGCCAGACTTCGTGGCAAGGTAAATAATGAGACTGTAGATGGTTAAGGTCTGTTTATTACTTTAATTGCTGGTGCTTATATATACTAAGAAGATGCGTGAGATTTTCAGATTTAGCTATCCTAACAAACGTGCAACAATTAACATGTATGTCTTATCTCTATCGTATCTAAGTAATGTAGCGACGTGATAGTGCCGCTACATATACTCCCCCCTTTTAAAAATAATTAACATATAAATTGAAAAAAATTAGTATGTACCTAATTATATAATAACTTAACCTTGCTGATAAATTACATCCTATGCGTATTGTAATGTCATTGTTGCTAATTCGAAGGAAATAAAAACTGCTGCCTTTGTTGTGACGGCGGCGGCAGTCGATGAACTATCCACTGCATTTGTGCTGATTGTTTCTTGCTATTGTTTTCACTCTTCTGTCTAAGGTCTTCAGTATTCCGTAGAGAAGAAGGATGCCAATTGTGATGAGGATTTGTCCAATTGCAATGTTTCTCGTCCACCGTAGCTCTTCCAGGACAAGACTTTTGAGATGGTCGGCTTCATTTTGATTAAGGCAACTGTCGGAGTTATATACGATTTGATCTTTGGAGCTTTGGTTGCCCATTGTTCTCTCGTAGATACTGACGGTATATGATGGTATTTTCAAAATACGGTGAGTATTTAAATGGACTGATTACTTGTGTCAGCAAGTGACGAATCGTACTGTCGGCTTAACCGCCCGTCCTGACTTCGTGATGTACGTGTTCCGCCCGTTGTGATTATTTTCTGAATTTGGCACGTTCGTTCCGCTATTGAAGACAAATGCAGGTTTTAATCGGTCTATAGATATTGCTTTTTCATTGTCCCCAATTTTAATGATAAACGTCTTATCTATCCTCTTTGTCACTAGAAATGGTCCTTCGTATGGTGGTGTTAAACTTTTTCTTATTCTGTCACAGCGCACGAATACATGTGAGCATTTGTTGAGCTCGGGGTGAATGAAAACTGTTTGTTTAATTTTCTTGCGTTTTGATGTTGATGTCATACGAGAAATGTCCTTTTGTATATTTGTGACAAATTCTTCGTATGTCGAAGGCTGTGACGATTCAAAAAATTCTCCGGGAAGCCTTATAGGTGCGCCATATATCATCTCTGCTGCACTATATCCTGTGTCCTCGCGTACACAACTTCGTAATCCAAGTAGAACTGAAGCAATTTCGTTCATCCAATTAGCATTAGATTCTCTTGATATTAGCGCCGCTTTTAAAGTTCTATGAAATCTCTCTATCATTCCATTTGATTGTGGGTGATAAGGCGTTGTTCTAATTTTGTGTACTCCTAAAAATTGTGAAAGTGATTCAAATATTCTTGATTCAAATTGTCGACCTTGATCCGTAGTAATGCGTAATGGGCATCCGAATCTTGCTATCCATCCCTCATACAGTATGCGCGCTACTGTTTCGGCTGTGATATCTTTAACGGGAAATACTTCCGGCCAAGAAGTACAACGATCTATCATTGTAATTAAATATCGCTTTCCTTGAGAAACAGGTAACGGTCCAACAATATCGATGTGTAGATGTTCAAAACGTTGAGATGGCATAAAGTTCCCGACAGGTGATATAGTGTGGCGTTGCACTTTTGATTTTTGACAAGCTAGGCACGATTTACACCATTCATTTATATCTTTATTCATACTTGTCCATAAATATCTTTGAGTTATCATTTTCCTAGTAGCTCGCTTCCCAGGATGACTCAGTCCATGCATGACATTAAAAATTTGTCTCCGAAATTTTTCTGGTAAATAGGGGCGATTTTTTCCTGTAGATATGTCACAGGCGATGACTTCAGTAGAACCCGGAACCTTGATATTTGAAAATTTTAAATTCTTGTTATTACGAAGTCGTAATAATTCTTGGTCATCATGCTGACATCTTGCTAAATCAGCATAATTAATCGGTGATGGCACATCAATTTGTTCTATCCGTGACAATGCGTCTGCTACAATATTGTCACGTCCTTCTATATGTTGAATGTTGGTACAATATTGTGAAATAAAATCCAGTTGTCGTATTCGCCGTGGCGTATCATTAGATGACGGTTTTTGGGAAAATGCGTAAGTCAAAGGTCGATGATCTGTAAAGATAGTAAATTCTCTTCCTTCGACTAACCTTTGAAAATGTTTGACTGCCATATATATTCCGAGCAACTCTCTGTCGAATGTCGAGTATTTTTGTTGAGTATCACTTAATTTCTTTGAAAAGAATCCTAATGGTTCCCAATTACGTCCTGACTTCTGCTGCAGAACTGCGCCAACACAGGTCGAACTGGCGTCCGTCATAAGTGCCAAAGGGGCGGTGCGAGAGGGGTGAACTGTTAATACTGCGTTCATTATATTTTCCTTGCATTTATCAAAAGCTTTTTCGGCCTCTGTTGTCCAAGAAATTGGAGAATTATCATTCTTTTTAGAGTCGTGCAGGTAGTTGTTTAAGATAGTTTGATATTCAGCGGCATGAGGGAGATTGTTTCTGTAAAAGTTGATCATTCCTAAAAATCTTCTTAGCTTCTTGATTGTCGTAGGTTTAGGAAATTCCATAATTGCTTTGTACTTTTCCTCCGTTGGTCGTATTCCTCGACGTGTTGTATGATAACCCAGAAAATCTATTTCACTCTTAAGAAAGTCACATTTTTCGAGATTAATTGTTAATCCATTTTCATGTAAACGTTTGAAAACCGTATCCAAATGTTGATAATGTAGAGCCTCGTTTTCAGATGCTATAAGACAATCGTCGACGAATATGAATACGAAATCCAAATCCCTGAATAGCGAGTCCATGAATCGTTGGAATGTTTGCGCCGCATTACGTAAACCGAAAGGCATTTTTGGAAATTCGAAAAGTCCAAAAGGAGTGATAATAGCAGTTTTTTCCACATTTTCTACAGGAATGCAGTGGTACGCCTTTCGAATATCAATTTTGGAAAAGATTTGCTTCCCTTCTAGTATGTAAGTGAAATCAGTTAGTCGTGGAAGTGGATATTTGTCCGGTACAGTCACGCTATTGAGCATTCTATAATCTCCACATGGTCTCCATTCACCGTTCTTTTTCTTAACCATGTGCAAAGGACTAGCCCATGGGCTGTCCGAAGGGCGACAAATGCCAAGCTCCATCATAGTCTGAAATTCTTTCTTTGCTATATGATATTTATCAGGAGGTAATGGTCTTGCACGTGCTGATACCGGTGGTCCTTTAGTGATAATATGATGCTTAATCTTGTGTTTTGGAGTAGTGTGGAGGGAGGCTGGTTTCGTAATATCCTCGTATTCATTTAATAGTTGAGTAATGCGTGGATTCGTCTCAATGTTAATAGTGCGGATTGTTTGCTGCGTCGATTTGATCAGGGTTGCGGGCGTTGTCAGCTCAGTTACCCTATCTATGAGTTTTCGACCAGCTATATCGACTAATAGCTTATAATGCTCTAAAAAATCTGCTCCAATAATCGGTTGTGTTACATCGGCGATGACAAAGTTCCATACAAAGTTTCTTCGTAGCCCGAAGTTTAAAGAGAGTGTTTTTTCACCATATGTCTTAATTTTTGTACCATTGGCGGCATAAAGTATACATTGTTCATCTTGTATTAGTGAATGTCTCTGTGGCTTGCTAATAACTGAAATATTTGCTCCCGTGTCAATCAAAAATCTCATACCACTTTTTCGGTCGGTAATAGTGAGGCGGTTGGACGGGTGAATAGCACAGAGTTCCGCCGTTGTCCGTGCTTCAATTAGTTTCCCTGTTTCCTTGAGTTGAGATCCTGTTTCCAATCACAAGGTTGAACACACTTTTGTGCATATTTTTTAAATCTTCCATGGTAAAAACAAAAGTGCCTTCTTTCTCTTGAACTTGACTGTGGTAGGAAATGCCGACGATTGGAATAACTTTGAGTGCTGCGTCGATAGTTTTTTTGACCTTGCTGAATTGCATTTAGTTCCAATTGCATTTCTGCTAACTGTGCTAGTATGCATGACATTGTATCGTCGCCAGATTTGTTTCCGTTTACAGCTGACACCTCTGTACGTGTTGAATTTATTAATATCTTGTCCGCGATCTGGCTCATCTTGTTCACATCTATGTCTTCTGTGACTGCTAGAACCGAAGTCACTGATGGTGGCAGAAGCCTCAACCATAGAAGTTTGATGGTTTCGTCGCTGATATTTCCGTTACTCAGGGTCCGCATCTTGCGCAGAAGATGTGATGGTTTCTGGTCGCCGAGATCCATTTCAGACAATAATTTTTGGAGCTGACGTTGGTCTGATTCCTCATAGCAACTGATTAGGCGTTCTTTGATAGCCTTGTACTTTTCTATTGGCGGTGGGCAAGTAATGAGGTCACTAACCTGTATTATTTCTTCTTTTGGCAGTTTTGCAATGACCGTATAGTACTTGTAATCGTCTCCTTGCTTCTGTGGTGCTACTATGGCTTCTAGTTGCTTAAACCATAATCTGGGTTGGTCCCTCCAAAATTCCGGAATACGGGATAAAATGGCGGTTCCGGCTGATATCTCCAAGGCTTCTTGTTGGCTGCTGCTTGATTTGCAGGGTGAATGAGTCATGTTGATTGTTCTTCGTCGGGTCACCAATTTGCCAGACTTCGTGGCAAGGTAAATAATGAGACTGTAGATGGTTAAGGTCTGTTTATTACTTTAATTGCTGGTGCTTATATACTAAGAAGATGCGTGAGATTTTCAGATTTAGCTATCCTAACAAACGTGCAACAATTAACATGTATGTCTTATCTCTATCGTATCTAAGTAATGTAGCGACGTGATAGTGCCGCTACATCCTCAATCCCTAAATCTTTGTAAACTTAAAACTTAATCCCCAATGATGATGGTGAAGGTGAAGGTGAAGGTGAGTGTGAAGGTGAAGGTGAAGGTGAAGGACAAGGTGAAGGACAAGGTGAAGGTGAAGGTGAAGGTGAAGGTGAAGGTGAAGGTGAGGGTGAGGGTGAGGGTGAGGGTGAGGGTGAGGGTGAGTGTGAGTGTGAGTGTGAGTGTGAGTGTGAGTGTGAGTGTGAGTGTGAGTGTGAGTGTGAGTGTGAGTGTGAGTGTGAGTGTGAGTGTGAGTGTGAGTGTGAGTGTGAGTGTGAGTGTGAGTGTGAGTGTGAGTGTGAGGGTGAGGGTGAGTGTGAAGGTGAAGGTGAAGGTGAATGTGAAGGTGAATGTGAAGGTGAAGGTGAAGGTGAAGGTGAAGGCGAGGGTGAGGGTGAGGGTGAGGGTGAGGGTGAGTGTGAGTGTGACTGTGAGTGTGAGTGTGAGTGTGAGTATGAGTGTGAGTGTGAGTGTGAGGGTGAGGGTGAGTGTGAAGGTGAAGGTGAAGTTGAAGGTGAGTGTGAGGGTGAGGGTCAGTGTTAAGGTGAAGGTGAAGAGGAAGGTGAAGGTGAAGTTGAAGGTGAAGGTGAAGGTGAAGTTGAAGGTGAAGGTGAAGGTGAAGGTGAAGGTGAAGGTGAAGGTGAAGGTGAAGGTGAAGGTGAAGGTGAAGGTGAAGGTGAAGGTGAAGGTGAAGGTGAAGGTGAAGGTGAGGGTGAGCGTGAGGGTGAGGGTGAGTGTGAGTGTGAGTGTGAGTCTTAGTGTTAGTGTTAGTGTGAATGTGAGTGTGAGTGTGAGTGTGAGTGTGAGTGTGAGTGTGAGTGTGAGTGTGAGTGTGAGTGTGAGTGTGAGTGTGAGTGTGAATGTGAGTGTGAGTGTGAGTGTGAGTGTGAGTGTGAGTGTGAGTGTGAGTGTGAGTGTGAGTGTGAGTGTGAGGGTGAGGGAGAGGGTGAGTGTGAGGGTGAGTGTGACGGTGATTGTGAGGGTAAGTGTGAAGGTGAAGGTGAAGGTGAAGGTGAAGGTGAAGGTGAAGGTGAAGGTGAAGGTGAAGGTGAAGGTGAAGGTGAAGGTGAAGGTGAAGGTGAAGGTGAAGGTGAAGGTGAAGGTGAAGGTGAAGGTGAAGGTGAAGGTGAAGGTGAAGGTGAAGGTGAAGGTGAAGGTGAAGGTGAAGGTGAAGGTGAAGGTGAAGGTGAAGGTGAAGGTGAAGGTGAAGGTGAAGGTGAAGGTGAAGGTGAAGGTGAAGGTGAAGGTGAAGGTGAAGGTGAAGGTGAAGGTGAAGGTGAAGGTGAAGGTGAAGGTGAAGGTGAAGGTGAAGGTGAAGGTGAAGGTGAAGGTGAAGGTGAAGGTGAAGGTGAAGGTGAAGGTGAAGGTGAAGGTGAAGGTGAAGGTGAAGGTGAAGGTGAAGGTGAAGGTGAAGGTGAAGGTGAAGGTGAAGGTGAAGGTGAAGGTGAAGGTGAAGGTGAAGGTGAAGGTGAAGGTGAAGGTGAAGGTGAAGGTGAAGGTGAAGGTGAAGGTGAATGTGAAGGTGAAGGTGAAGGTGAAGGTGAAGGTGAAGGTGAAGGTGAAGGTGAAGGTGAAGGTGAAGGTGAGGTACTCGAGAATGGCGTGTTGTAGGTCTACTGGGTATGGTGCTGATTCTCTTCCTTGAGCATGCGCAAAATGACCAGACGTTCGTAGACGCTGGTTGACACCTAGCATCAAACTGTATGCTGGTACAATCTGTCTGTTGCAGCACGCACACGATAATTTGATAGCGCGTAGGCACGAACCATATCCCAATATTCTTCATTTGAATACTGGGACGACATTATTATACTTCACACACTACCTAACACTAGTAAATGTAAAGGAATATTATTCGTGGTTGTGGTAAATAATTAAAGCATATTTATACTTTAAATATAAGTTTTATTAAGAAAGCACGACAACTGAAGTTTTAAAATAAAACAGAGACAATGACACAGAACAAAAGTGGCACCAAAGACAATAAATATATTATGGTTGCGTTCCTATTCACTAACACCCTCCCTAGGGACGCAACCCCATCATTTTTACACAATACAAATGCTTGTCAGCTGTGGTGCCCTTAGTTAGGTTATCAGCAATCATTTCCTCGCCCCTGACATAACTAAACTTTATATCTAAATTGTTAACGTGATCTTTGAGAAAATGATAGCGAATATCAATATGTCGCGACCTAGGCAAATAACAGTCATTATTGGACAATTTAATAGCACTCTGGTTATCATTAAGTATGACGAGTGGATTGCTCTGTTCTTGACCCAGCTCAGCATGCAGTTGTTGGAGCCACAGTGCCTCCTGCGCCGCCGAGGACATCGACATGTATTCGGCCTCAGCAGTAGACAAAGCCACAGTCTGCTGCTTTTGTGACCGCCAAGATATAGCACCACCCTGCAACATAAAAATGTAACCCGTGCACGACTTCCTATCGCGCACATCGCTTGCCCAGTCAGCATCACAATATCCTGTGATTTTCTCATTACCATCCTTGGTATAAACCAACTTCAAGTTTTTGGTACCCTGTAGATATCTGAAAACTCTTTTAACTGCTGCCCAGTGTGCATTCGTAGGATTTTTGTTAAATCTGCTCAGTGTGTTTACTGCAAATGATATATCAGGCCGGGTACCTTGAGCCACATACAGTAAGGATCCAATGGCCTGTTGATATGGACAGTCAGTAATCTCATCTTCTTCATTTTTAGCACCAAGTTTCATGCCAGCTTCAAATGGTGTTTTCACAGATTTACAGTCAGACATTCTGAACCGAGCCAATATTTCATTTATATATTTTTCTTGATCCAGTAGTACTTGATCACCGACCCTTGTAATATGTAACCCAACACATTGACTTGCTGGGCCAATGTCTTTCATTTCAAAGTGTTTCTTTAAATTTTCTTTAAAAATATTTTTTGTATTTTCGTCAGCAGTGAATAATATTAAGTCATCCACCCAGATGGCTATAAAAGTATTCCTATCTTTATTATAATAGACACAAGAATCCATTTTTGATTGTGTCATTCCTAACTCATGCAGGACAGAATTTAATTTCAGGTTCCAGATTCTGCTAGCCTGCTTGAGTCCATATATAGATTTCTGTAGCAAGCATACCTGAGATCCAAGTTTATACTCCTCTGGCTGCTGCATGTAAATTTCTCTATCGATCTCTCCTTGCAGAAAAGCAGATACAGCATCCATTTGATCTATTCCCAATCCATACCTGGCTGCTAGGGCAAATAGATAGCGTATAGTTGTGTACCTGACAACTGGTGAGTATATTTCTTCGTAATCTGTACCCCACCTTTGTGCATATCCCTTTATCACAAGTCTTGCCTTGTATCTCCGAACATTCCCACTCTGGTCTGTTTTTGTCTTAAATACCCACTTATTTGGAAGAGCCTTTTTACCTGGAGGGAGATCTGTCAAAATCCATGTCTTATTTTTCATTAGGGAAGTATACTCCTCATCCATAGCCTTCTTCCATTCTGTACTTTGTGGTGATGCAAGTGCTTGCTCAACAGTCTGCGGGTCAGTCAAATCAGTAAACAAACACAATAAGCCCATCTTACCATTGTTTGCCTCATCTTGTTTAGCCTGTGACCGTGCTGACCTCAATGTTACATTACTATGGTAATCTTGTCTTATCGGATATGGAGGATGGTAAGTTTCATCAAGTTCTCCTGTGTCAGTGTCATACTCACTTGAGTCTTCACTATTACCTTGTGTGTCTGAATCTTTGCTGGGCATCACAGGTGCAGAAGTGGATGATGACTCCTGAGTGTGTATCTTGTTTCTCTCACTGCCTGAGTTTGCTTTTTCTAGTGAGCCGGAACTTGCAGTAGCTGATTGACTGTCCTTTACTGGAATATAAGTTTCACAATCAACTGGTACACTGACATCCTCATTATAATTTTCAATAAAAGAAACATCTCTACTTTTGACAACTTTGTGTGTCTTAGGATCCATAAAACGATATCCCTTTGTGTTTTCGCAATAGCCAACAAATATCATTTTTATAGATTTCCTGTCCCACTTTTGGCGTTTTTCTTTAGGTACATAGACCATAGCTTCGGAGCCAAATATTTTAATATGCGATAAATTAGGTTTATTACCTTTCCACATTTCATATGGAGTTTTACCTTGTATTGACTTTGTCGGGGAACGGTTTATTACATACGCAGCAGTTGCCACAGCTTCAGCCCAGTAGTTCTTCTCCAGCTTGGCATAGAAAAGCATGCACCGTGCTCGTTCCACTAAAGTCCTGTTCATTCTCTCGGCCATGCCGTTTTGCTGGGGAGTGTACGGAGTAGAGGTCTGATGAATTATACCATGATTACATAAGAACTTTTCAAAGTTATTGTTACAGTATTCTTTACCGTTATCTGTACGAAGCTTTGTTATCTTATGATTCAATTCATTCTCTACCTTCAGTTTGAAATCTTTAAATGTTTCTAAAATGTTTAACTTATCTTTCAGAAAATAAACATAGACCATTCGTGTGTAATCATCAATGTAAGTAATAAAGTATTTCATACCTCCAAATGATATATGTTCCATAGGGCCACACAAGTCTGAATGTATCAATTCCAGCGGTCTTGTCGCTCTAGTACCCACATTTTTGAATGGCATCCTTGCTTGCTTACCTTCCATACAATAAGTACATGGGACATTACATTCTTCCTGAGCCAGAGTCACACCATCAGTACAGCTGGGCAGCCTTTTTACATCTGGAATATTCAAATGGCCCATTCGCAGGTGCCATAGGTAAGTGTTATTACAAAAAGGAGAACTTGAGGTTAAATGTGCTACTTCTCTACTGGTATCCATGATGTATAACTTGTTGCTCAATGTTGCAGTGCATACCACCTGGTCTTTCCCATTTTGAATATCACACCCCCTTTTGTGAAAAATAACCTTATGTCCATTTTTGACGATAGTACTAACTGAAAGTAGATTGGCAGCCAGCCCAGGTACATACAGTACATTTTTAACTTGTATCACTTTATCTTGACTTATATGTATGTCTACACAACCAACCCCTTTTACAGCCAACGGCTCCTTGTTTGCTACAGTGATTTTGTTTACAGATGGCTCAGTGACATTGTACATCCAATCTTTTCTACTAGTCATATGCATGGATGCACCGGAGTCTAGAAACCATTTATAATCACTATTATTTTCTTTGAGGGTAGCTGAAAAAGCTGCTACAAAGCTGGAGCTCTCTCCTTTGTTTGCTGATTGTTTTTTTGGCAGTTTACAATACTTGGCAAAATGACCACTCTTATTACAGTTAAAACATCTAGGTCCCTTAGATTTCACTGGCTGCACATTATTTCCTGTTCTCTTTGTGTTTGTGTAGAAAGCGGTTGACTTTGATGTGTTAATCTCTTGTATGAGTTTAGTTTTTACGGAATCAGCACTGATTTGGATACCAGAACTCTCAAGCCCCATTATCATAGGCTTGTACTCCTCTGGTAGGCCAGCCAACATCAAAGTGCCAAGCCACTCATCATTAACATCAAATCCAATGTTGCGCAGTTTGTGTGCAGTGTTCATAATTTTACTAACATAGTCTTCAACACTATTACTTGACTCCAGTGTAGTATTAATCAAATCCTTAAGTAGACCTACTCTTCTGGTTAAACCGTTGTCATCAAAAGCCCTTTGTAAATTTTCCCATACTTGTTTTGCTGTTTTGCATTCCTGAACATGTACGTAATTCTGTGGGTCCAACAACAATATCAGCTTCGCCTTCGCCTTTACGTCTTTACTTGCATCTACAGATTTATCATCGGGGCGCTCAACACAACACCATAAATCTTCGTGCTCCAAGTACGTCTTCATGCTAAACTTCCAGGTTGCAAAATTTTCCCTTCCGACCAATTTCTCCAAATTGAACATATTATTTGGACTCATCTTGCTGAGTTTCACCAAAAATATGCAATTTACAAACTGTGATCGAAAATTTTCTTAACCTCAAATTCAAAATTGTACCGACAATTTTTCGGATTGAAGTTATTTCACTTTCTCAATATTTCCAACTGTACCACTTCGGAACCACGCTCTGCTACCATAAAGGAATATTATTCGTGGTTGTGGTAAATAATTAAAGCATATTTATACTTTAAATATAAGTTTTATTAAGAAAGCACGACAACTGAAGTTTTAAAATAAAACAGAGACAATGACACAGAACAAAAGTGGCACCAAAGACAATAAATATATTATGGTTGCGTTCCTATTCACTAACAAAATGCACTTTACGTTTTGGTAAACGGGGATGTACGCAATGCGGAAGCGGTGGCGCGTTCGCATTCGAAAGAGAAAGAGAAAGAGATAGAGATAGAGATAGAGATAGAGGTAGAGATAGAGATAGAGATAGAGATAGAGATAGAGATAGAGATAGAGATAGAGATAGAGATAGAGATAGAAATAGAGATAGAGATAGAGATAGAGATAGAGATAGAGATAGAGATAGAGATAGAGATAGAGATAGAGATAGAGATAGAGATAGAGATAGAGATAGAGATAGAGATAGAGATAGAGATAGAGATAGAGATAGAGATAGAGATAGAGATAGAGATAGAGATAGAGATAGAGATAGAGATAGAGATAGAGATAGAGATAGAGATAGAGATAGAGATAGAGATAGAGATAGAGATAGAGATAGAGATAGAGATAGAGATAGAGATAGAGATAGAGATAGAGATAGAGATAGAGATAGAGATCTAACAATGTCGCTCTCGCTATGTTTGGTTCTCAGTTATTATTGGAAAAGGGTTTGGATCAAAGTTACCCCGCAGGGTTAAAGTAACCCGGTATGCTTACCAACACATTTTGCGATTCATTTCATAACCCCCTACGGAAAAAGAGGGGTTTCATAAGTTTGACATGTCTGTCAGTCTGTGGCGTCAAAGCTCCTGAACGAATGAACCGATTCCAATTAAGTTTCTTTTGAGTTACAGGTGTTTTACGGGCGAGTGTTCTTACACCTGTTTGATGAAAATCGATTGAGCCTTTTAATAGTTATGGGGGATTAAAGTGGGGAAGAAAAACCGAATGTCTGCAAATATGCTCAAGTGTGGTATCAAATGAAAGGTACTTGTACGTCACAAAAACAAAAATTTTAATAAGTTTGACGTGCCTGTTGCATCATAGCTTCTGAACGGATGAAACGATTTCAATTAAGTTTTTTTTCCTAACAAAGATTACTGACGTGCGAGTGTTCTTAGACATGTTTGAGCCGTATAAAATTAGAGGGGGGTGAAAGTGGGGAAGATTTACCGATTGTCTATAATTAATATGGTCCAGTGGGGTCTCAAATGTAAGCGCATTACCTGTACATTACAAAATTTTTACTTTTTAAAGGTAGCTCATGAGTTTTGTGTCGGGGGTTTTTTTAATTTTAAATTTATATAATATAGCTACATTAGAAAATCATGCTTAGCATGTACTACGGGTGAAGGATTTGTGAAATAAAACTCAGTGGTTTTAATTTTTTTTATAACAACAATTGCACATCACTTAACTTTTAATAAATAATGAATAAATTACAAGGGAGATCAAATCAAGAGATTAATGAATTTTTACACGAGATTGGAAATGGCAAGTCAGTTTTGTTCACAGCACGATCGCTGGTTTTATTATGAGGTTTAATTACCAAACAAAACGTCACAAGAATTTCGATAATTTGGTTACAAATATTTGAAGTAAATTATATTTCTGGCAATTAAAATTCATAATAAATTGGATCGCAAACTTAAAGATAATAACGTACATTTTTAAATGTACAAACAATATTATGAATTGCATAAGCGTCAATGTATATTTAGGTACAGACGAAGTTAGAGACAATTAATAGTAGTTCGTTTAAAAATCTTGTCCTGTCTCACTGATTCTGACGTCAAAATCATAAAACTATGACAAGCATCCGATTATTCTAAGCAAAACATTGCAAAAAAAATGCAATTCTGCCGCTAGGCCAAAGGATAAAGTAATATTTGACTGAACGGTTGCCGCTGTAGCTGGGCATTGCGCAACTGGCTGCCGCGGAAAAACATTGCGTGATCCAGAAATTGTATTGTTCCAGATCTGGGTGTGATGTGTAGGCATGTGAAATTGTATGTTTGTAAAAGTACCCACGACACAGGAGAAAAACTTAGTGTGGGGCAAAGTTTTATAAAAGAAATCTATTGTCATTCGTTGTCAATTACAAATTCTGTACACACTATTATTTTCCAAAAAAGGTTGTTGAACATGACAAGATTAACAAAACGCACTATCAAAAATCAATATAGTTGGTATGTTCGGAGACAACTCCTCGGATCCATGTGCTGGTGACTTTCACATTGTGGTAGATGCCAGGCTGGTGGTCTACTCCACAGCCGAAGCCAGCTGACGTGATACCTACTAAGTAGTAGCGACCGTTGTCGGAAACTATTAGCGGGCCACCCAAATCACCTGGAAAACGAAAAACTAATTAATGGAATGGTTGTAATAATAATTTTCTTTAGTCTCCTTTTACACTTTTTAAGTTCTAGGAGGTCGGATTATATCATAAGTGTGGGAGAGCCATATACCACGGCCTCGCAGAAAACCGGCGTGAAACAACCATAGCGTTATGTTCCGCCGTGTAAGTGAGGTTACTGGAGGCCCAATCCCTCACCCTACCCCCATCCGTCCTCAATCCCTAAATCTCCGTAAACTTAAAATTGAATCCCTAATGATGAAGGTGAAGGTGTGGGTAAGGGTGGAGGTGAAGGTGAGGGCGAGTGTGAAGGTGAGTGTGAAGGTGAGGATGAAGGTGAGGGTGTGGGTGTGGGTGAGTGTGAGGGTGAGTGTGAAGATGAGGGTGAGTGTGAGGGTGAGTGTGAAGGTGAGGATGAAGGTGAAGGTGAAGGTGAGGGTGAGGGTGAGGGTGAGGGTGAAGGTGAAGGTGAAGGAGAGTGTGAAGGTGAAGGTAAAGGAGAGTGTGAAGGTGAAGGTGAGGGTGAGGGTGAGTGTGAAGGTGAAGGTGAAGGTGAAGGTGAAGGTGAAGGTGAAGGTGAAGGTGAAGGTGAAGGTTTTGAAGTCGGTTTTTTTTTGTTAAAAATTATTTTTTCTTAACAAAGATTACTTACGTGCGAGTGTTCTTAGACATGTTTGAGCCGTATAAAATTAGAGGGGGGTGAAAGTGAGAAAGAATTACCGATTGTCTATAATTGATATGGTCCAGTGGGGTCTGAAATGAAAGCGCATTACCTGTACATTACAAAATTTTTACTTTTTAAAGGTAGCTTATGAGTTTTGTGTCGGGGTTTCTTTAATTTTAAATTTATATAATATATGTACATTAGAAAATCATGCTTAGCATGTACCTACTACGGGTGGATTTGTAAAATAAAGATTTGTGAAGGTGAAGGTGAGTGTGAAGGTGAGGTTGAGAGCGAAGATGAATGTGAGGGTGAAGGTGAGTGTGAAGGTGAGGGTGAGAGCGAAGATGAATGTGTGGGTGAAGGTGAAGGTGCAGGTGAAGGTGAATGTGAAGGTGAAGGTGAAGGTGAAGGTGAAGGTGAAGGTGAAGGTGAAGGTGAAGGTGAAGGTGAAGGTGAAGGTGAAGGTGAAGGTGAAGGTGGAGGTGAAGGTGAAGGTGAAGGTGAAGGTGAAGGTGAAGGTGAAGGTGAAGGTGAAGGTGAAGGTGAAGGTGAAGGTGAAGGTGAAGGTGAAGGTGAAGGTGAAGGTGAAGGTGAAGGTGAAGGTGAAGGTGAAGGTGAAGGTGAAGGTGAAGGTGAAGGTGAAGGTGAAGGTGAAGGTGAAGGTGAAGGTGAAGGTGAAGGTGAAGGTGAAGGTGAAGGTGAAGGTGAAGGTGAAGGTGAAGGTGAAGGTGAAGGTGAAGGTGAAGGTGAAGGTGAAGGTGAAGGTGAAGGTGAAGGTGAAGATGAAGGTGAAGGTGAAGGTGAAGGTGAAGGTGAAGGTGAAGGTGAAGGTGAAGGTGAAGGTGAAGGTGAAGGTGAAGGTGAAGGTGAAGGTGAAGGTGAAGGTGAAGGTGAAGGTGAAGGTGAAGGTGAAGGTGAAGGTGAAGGTGAAGGTGATTATATCATAAGTGTGGGAGAGCCATATACCACGGCCTCGCAGAAAACCGGCGTGAAACAACAATAGCGTTATGTTCCGCCGTGTAAGTGAGGACGCCTTGCACTTACAAAGTATGCTGAACAGCCTGGCTGATTACTCTGCTCGCATCGGACTACGGATGAACCTACAAAAAACGAAGGTCATGTTCAATGAACATGTTCTCCCGGAGCCGATCACCATCAATGGATCTCCTTTCGAGGTTGTTCAAGAGTACGTCTACCTCGGGCAAACTATCCAGTTCGGTAGAAACAACTTCGAGAGGGAGGCTCGTAGGAGGATACAGCTTGGTTGAGCAGCGTATAGGAAACTCAGTCGGGTATTCTCGTCAAAGATACCGCAAAGCCTGAAGACTGAAGTCTTCAATGAGTGCGTCCTACCAGTGATGACATACGGAGCCGAGACGTGGATACTTACAGTGCGACTGATCCACCAATTTAAAGTCGCGCAGCGAGCTATGGAAAGGGCTATGCTTGGAGTCTCTCTGAAGGATCGTATTCGAAACGAGGTGATCCGACAGAGAACTAAAGTTGTCGACATAGGCCAAAGGATTAGCAAACTGAAGTGGCAGTGGACAGGTCACATCTGTCGAAGAACCGATGACCGCTGGAGTAAACGTGTTCTAGAGTGGAGACCACGTCTAGGCAAACGTAGTGTAGGGCGCCCTCCAGCTAGGTGGACTGACGACAGGTGGCTGGCAGTGGTTGGATGAGAAGAGCTGAATATCGAGCTCAGTTGCGTGCAATTGTGGAGGCCTATGTCCAGCAGTGGACGACAACAGGCTGATGATGATGATGATGTGTGAGTGAGGTTACTGGAGGCCCAATCCCTCACCCTATCCCCATCCGTCCTCAATCCCTAAATCTCCGTGAACTTAAAACTTAATCCCCAATGATGAAGGTGAGGGTGAGGGTGAATGTGAAGGTGAAGGTGAAGGTGAAGGTGAAGGTGAAGGTGAAGGTGAAGGTGAAGGTGAAGGTGAAGGTGAAGGTGAAGGTGAAGGTGAAGGTGAAGGTGAAGGTGAAGGTGAAGGTGAAGGTGAAGGTGAAGGTGAAGGTGAAGGTGAAGGTGAAGGTGAAGGTGAAGGTGAAGGTGAAGGTGAAGGTGAAGGTGAAGGTGAAGGTGAAGGTGAAGGTGAAGGTGAAGGTGAAGGTGAAGGTGAAGGTGAAGGTGAAGGTGAAGGTGAAGGTGAAGGTGAAGGTGAAGGTGAAGGTGAAGGTGAAGGTGAAGGTGAAGGTGAAGGTGAAGGTGAAGGTGAAGGTGAAGGTGAAGGTGAAGGTGAAGGTGAAGGTGAAGGTGAAGGTGAAGGTGAAGGTGAGGTTGAGGGTGAAAGTGAAGGTGAAGGTGAGGGTGACTGTGAAGGTGAGGGTGACTGTGAAGGTGAAGTTGAAGGTGATGGTGAAGGTGAAGGAGAGTGTGAAGGTGAAGGTGAGGGTGAGGGTGAGGGTGAGGGTGAATGTGAAGGTGAAGGTGAGGGTTAGTGTGAAGGTGAAGGTGAAGGTGAGGGTGACTGTGAAGGTGAGGGTGACTGTGAAGGTGAAGGTGAAGGTGAAGGTATTGTAAACACGTATATATATATATGGAGAAAGAGAAAGAGAAAGAGAAAGAGAAAGAGAAAGAGAAAGAGAAAGAGAAAGAGAAAGAGAAAGAGAAAGAGAAAGAGAAAGAGAAAGAGAAAGAGACAGATGAGACAGAGACAGAGACAGAGATAGAGATGTCGCTCGGATACGAACGGGTCCTTTTTTCCAATTTCCCCTATACTTTTCTAATATTTTCTTTGATATTTAATAAAATAATTACCTACCGCACAACAAGAAAAGAATTGGCAAATATGGTCCAAGTATTGTTGACTTACCGTAAGTTCGGGTTACTCTAACCCTGGGAGGAACTTTGATCCAAATTTTCGAACCAATGAAAAACGAATATATGTTTGGTTCTCAGTTATTATTGGATAAAGGGTTTGGATCAAAGTTACCCCGCAGGGTCAACGTAACCCGAACTTACCCGGTATGCTTACCAACACATTTTGCGATTCATTTTTTAACCCCCTACGGAAAAAGAGGGGTTTTATAAGTTTGACATGTCTGTCAGTCTGTGGCGTCAAAGCTCCTGAACGAATGAACCGATTCCAATTAAGTTTTTTTTGAGTTACAGGTGTTTTACGGGCGAGTGTTCTTAGACCTGTTTGATGAAAATCGATTGAGCCTTTTAAAGGTTAAAGTGGGGAAGAAAAACCGAATGTCTGCAAATATGCTCAAGTGGGGTATCAAATGAAAGGTACTTGTACGTCACAAAAACAAAAATTTTAATAAGTTTGACGTGCCTGTTGCGTCATAGCTTCTGAACGGATGAAACGATTTCAATTAAGTTTTTTTTCCTAACAAAGATTACTTACGTGCGAAGGTTCTTAGACATGTTTGAGCTGTATCAAATTAGAGGGGGGTGAAAGTGGGGAAGAATTACCGATTTTCTATAATTAATATGGTCCAGTGGGGTCTCAAATGAAAGCGCATTACCTGTTCATTACAAAATTTTTACTTTTTAAAGGTAGCTTATGAGTTTTGTGACGGGGGCTTTTTTAATTTTAAATTTATATAATATACCTACATTACAAAATCATGCTTAGCATGTACTACGGGCGAATGATTTTTAAAATAAAACTCAGTGGTTTTAATTTTTTTTATAACAACAATTGCACATCACTTAACATTTAATAAATAATAAATAAATTACAAGGGAGATCAAATCAAGAGATTAATGAATTTTTACACGAGATTGGAAATGGCAAGTCAGTTTTGTTCACAGCACGATCGCTGGTTTTATTATGAGTTTTAATTACCAAACAAAACGTCACAGGAATTTCGATAATTTGGTTACAAATATTTAAAGTGAATGTATTCCTGGCAATTAAAATTCATAATAAATTGGATCGCAAACTTAAAGATAATAACGTACATCTTTTAAATGTACAAACATTATTACAATTTGTATAAGCGTCAATGTATATTTAAGTATAGACGGAGTTAGAGAGACAATTAATAGTAGTTCGTTTAAAAATCTTGTCCTGTCTGCCTGATTCTGACGTTAAAATCATAAAACTATGATCCAATGAAACGATGAAGCATCCGATAATTCTAAGCAAAACATTGCAAAAAAAATGCAATCCTGCCGCTAGGCCAAAGGGTAAAGTAATATTTGACTGAACGGTTGCCGCGGTAGCTGTTCATTGAAAAACACTGCGTGATCCAGAAATTGTATTGTTCCAGATCTGGGTGTCATGTGTAGGTAGTGAAATTTATTGTATGTTTGTAAACACAGGAGAAAAGTCAAAAGCCTAGTGTGGGGCAAAGTTTAAAAAAAAAAAATATTGTCGTTTTAGTCAATTACAAATTCTGTACACACATTTTCCAATAAAAGGTTGTTGAACATGACAAGATTAACAAAACGCACTATCAAAAATCAATATAGTTGGTATGTTCGGAGACAACTCCTCGGATCCATGTGCTGGTGACTTTCACATTGTGATAGATGCCAGGCTGATGGTCTACTCCACAGCCGAAGCCAGCTGACGTGATACCTACTAAGTAGTAGCGACCGTTGTCGGAAACTATTAGCGGGCCACCCGAATCACCTGGAAAAGGAAAAACGAATTAATGGAATGGTTATAAAAATAATTTCCTAAGTCTCCTTTTACATGTTTTAAGTTCTTAGAGGTCGGTTTATATCATGAGTGTGGGAGAGCCATATACCACGGCCTCGCAGAAAACCGGCGTGAAACAACCATAGCGTTGTGTTTCGCCGAGTAAGTGAGGTTACTGGAGACCCAATCCCTCACCCAACCCCCTTCCGTCCTCAATCCCTAAATCTCCGTAAACTTAAAACTTAATCCCCAATGATGATGGTCAAGTGAGTGTGAAGGTGAAGGTGAAGGTGAGGGTGAGTGTGAAGGTGAGGGTGAGGGTGAGTGTGAAGGTGAAGTTGAAGGTGAGGGTGAGGGTGAGTGTGAAGGTGAGGGTGAGGGTGAGGGTGAGTGTGAAGGTGAAGGTGAAGGTGAAGTTGAAGGTGAAGGTGAAGGTGAGTGTGAAGGTGAAGGTGAAGGTGTAGGTGAAGGTGAGGGTGAGGGTGAGTGTGAAGGTGAGGGTGAGTGTGAAGGTGAAGGTGAAGTTAAGGTGAAGGTGAGGGTGAGTGTGAAGGTGAAGGTGAAGTTGAAGGTGAAGGTGAAGGTGAGTGTGAAGGTGAAGTTGAAGGTGAGGGTGAGTGTGAAGGTGAGGGTGAGGGTGAGTGTGAAGGTAAAGTTGAAGGTGAGGGTGAGTGTGAAGGTGAGGGTGAGGGTGAGTGTGAAGGTGAAGTAGAAGGTGAAGGTGAGGGTGAGTGTGAAGGTGAAGGTGAGGGTGAGTGTGAAGGTGAAGGTGAAGGTGAAGGTGAAGGTGAAGGTGAAGGTGAAGGTGAAGGTGAAGGTGAAGGTGAAGGTGAAGGTGAAGGTGAAGGTGAAGGCGAAGGTGAAGGTGAAGGTGAAGGTGAAGGTGAAGGTGAAGGTGAAGGTGAAGGTGAAGGTGAAGGTGAAGGTGAAGGTGAAGGTGAAGGTGAAGGTGAAGGTGAAGGTGAAGGTGAAGGTGAAGGTGAAGGTGAAGGTGAAGGTGAAGGTGAAGGTGAAGGTGAAGGTGAATATAGGAGATAGGGATAGAGATAGAGATAGAGATAGAGATAGAGATAGAGATAGAGATAGAGATAGAGATAGAGATAGAGATAGAGATAGAGATAGAGATAGAGATCTATCTCTATCTCTATCTCTATCTCTATAGAGATCTATCTCTATCTCTATCTCTATCTCTATCTCTATCTCTATCTCTATCTCTATCACTATCTCTATCTCTATCTCTATCTCTATCTCTATCTCTATCTCTATCTCTATCTCTATCTCTATCTCTATCTCTATCTCTATCTCTATCTCTATCTCTATCTCTATCTCTATCTCTATCTCTATCTCTTAAAAATTAATTTAAATATGTTGTGTTGTGAGTTAAAAAGAACATGAATTTCATCCACATCCTCTGGCCGTTTTAGCGTGATTAAGTAACAAACATCCAAACATCGTAGTAAGATAATATTAGTAAGATTACCTAAGCAGGCATCTTGATGTCCGTCTGAATGTCCAGCGCAGATCATCTCTGAGTGTATTTCTACTGATATCTGCTTGCTTCTGTGCCAGTTGATGCATTGTTCTTTACCTGAAAGTTTTATTTTCATTTATTAAGCGACGATCTCCAGCCACCGTATTCGGGGGTCTGCGGACGGCGAGTAAGGTTAGCTCGCCGCTCGACCAGTACCAGACCTGAGTGTACCTACGGCGCGTAGCGTTCCTTGCGCGTTTTATCTTAATAATGGCGCTTTAACATTTTGTCGTTGAATTTTACTAGGTACCCGTTATATAAAAAATGTTAAATTAGTCTATATTGTTGTAAATTATGAAATACAGTAAAAATAGCTTCAAGATCACATTTAAAAATTATCTTTCTACTACATTGACCAGATATTTTTCGACAAGAGCGCCATCTAGTTGACGGCAAAAATCATATTGCCAAATCTTATTCGTTTTGCATGTTGAAAACACTAAATTACTTACTTAAAATAGGCACTGTAGCTGATCGCAACATATTTGTTCCTGTATGACCGGTACTAGCGTCCGTCTTTCCCCAACCAGCTATCACACCAGACCTCCCTCTCAAATCCATATCCCTCTCTGGGAGGCAAATTGGCAGTATATGAGTAGTGTAGATTATGGGCCGAGACAACTTCAAGAGGGCTATATCATAGCGATCCGGTTGCGTCATCCTGAATTGAAAGAGAGGATGCAAGATTTTTTGGACGACCCTGAAAAAGAAAGAGGATATAGGTACATGTGTCGCCTGGACAGTCTACGCTACCATCAGTTGACTGGACAATCTCTGCACTACATGAGCTGTTGTTTACATGTGAACATTAGCTCATGACGATACCTAAGTACGTGTGTCGCCTGGACAGTCTACGCTACCATCAATTGACTGGAAAATCTCTGTACTACATGAGCTGCTGTTTACATGTGAACATTAGCTCATGACGATGCCTAAGTACGTGTGTCGCCTGGACAGTCTACGCTACCATCAGTTGACTGGACAATCTCTGCACTACATGAGCTGCTGTTTACATGTGAACATTAGCCTATGACGATACCTAAGTACGTGTGTCGCCTGGACAGTCGACGCTACCATCAGTTGACTGGACAATCCCTGCACTACATGAGCTGCTGTTTACATGTGAACATTGTTATGCTAGGGACTTGCTTACCCTAGTTTTCTAGCAGTGTGGGCACCAGCGCTGGTGTCCAATGCTCCCAGCCAAACAGCTATGTCTCGTGGTCGAGCTCGGGAGACACAATGAGCAGCTGTAGCGACGTACCATCGGGATACTGGAAACAGATAACATATTTTAAGAATCAGAGGTGGGAGATCCATCCTTCGGCAAGAATGGGCCTGTTCGACCGGTGTACTAGAGCTTCACAGAAAACAGGCGTGATTCAACCAGTGCCATTCATTCGCTGTGTGATGATGTTACGAGAGGCCCTATCCTGGCATTAGGATACAAATTTTTTACATGGTAGGCAAACGAGGGCTTTCTGCGCTGGAGATAACCCAACACTTAAGGAGTTACAAGCACGTTCCGTATCGGTTCGGAAACACCGCCGCCGAAAGGTTCAGGTTGAAGTGCGAAGAGAGTAGGTCACCGACGTAGTTTCCGACGAGTTTATTGCGTAAAGTTATGTTTACAGCGAAAACTGTTGACGATTCCTTCCCCAATGTTGGTCACTGCGTAGCAGTATTTGCACTCGTTTATTTACCGTATTGTACAACTATTTATAAGAATAAAATTGCCTATGTCAGCCTTTTGAGAATGCACAAAAGTTGTGCTGAGTGACGCAGAAAGTTTGGCGAAAATCGCATAGTTGTCCAAAAATCTATGTAGTGGGATTGGAAGATTTTCTTATGACTCGATTTATAAAATTTTTTTTTTCTTAAAACGTTGCCTCACACTACTTTTTTCTCCTGTGTCGTGAATGCGATTACAAACATACAATTTCACATACACATGACACCCAGAGCCGGAACAATAGTTTGTGGGTCATATACAGAGTTGTTTCGTGCCGGAATCGAACCCACGACACGTTGCACGGCAGCCAGTTGCCCAGCCACCGCAACAACCGAAATTAATTTTATAAATAAAATATCACATGCCTAGGACTCCTCCACATTGGAACTCTGAGATCCTCACGTGTGCTTGCCACGGGAACTCCGCAAAGCGTGCCTCCCGCCCGCCTATAATGCGTTTCTGTATCATCTTCGTTGAAGACAAACCACAGTCTACCTGGAATCCATTGGTAATCATAACAAATAAATAAATAAAAACTATATTAGCAAAGGTTACAATTTTAACTTAGCCTATGTAATGTACATTCTAATATACCTAATAAATGAAAAACTAAATTGCACGGCATAACTTAATTAAAACTTTGGCATCCAAGCTAAATTTAAACTTGTGTTATGGATGCCATGGCTCTTTCTTTATGTCACTTTATTAATAACAATACCGCCCACGTATCTTGGCGAGTCTGAAGTTAGCCGATTAGCTGCGCAGTACACAACTTTGTTCCTAAAACGTCCATTGCGCAGACAAACGGCTAACTTCAGACTCGCCAAGATACGGCAGCCGTACTGCTCGTGAAAGTATGGGATGAACACTTTTGTCTCACACATTGATAAAAGGAAGTAAAAGAAACAAAAGGTAGAAACATTATAATTAATTAGTATTTTTAGCATTATGGTTCATGGTTTATTTGCGGTGTAGCAGTACCTACCTACTAAATAATAACAATCATTCAACCTAGTTCATATGGACATTCGCAACGCTATGGGAGTTAAGAGTGCGTAGCCGACTTTTTAGAGATTAGGACTGTCATGATTGGAGATGGGGCAATTTATGCGAAACATTTTTTATCTTAAGAATGGCTCCATACACACCACATTAAGTTAAGAAAAGGAATATAATATAAAATACAATACACGACGCTTAAGTCTTTAAAAGGAAAAGGGGAAATTAAACATTATCACCCATCCCTCACCTGTCCCACATCATCATCAGCTCTGCGTCGGAAGACGTTGGTCGGTACCACGCTGCGTTGTGGCACCTGCCGCAACTTCGGAGGCACCACCTTGTACTTCCAGTCTGATGACGGTATACTGTGAAGATGTACAGAAGACATGATCAACAAACGCAATAGCACGAGGTTTTAAACACAGTCTTGTAGGTCAAAAGGCAGTGAGGAGGTTAAATCCTTAATAGCGCTCCGCCCCGACTTCGCACGGGAGTCACGCTGATACTAAAGGCTGAAGGCTAATTCTTCGCCAGCGTGGACGCTGATAGGTACTTAATTTCTCCACTATTTCATGGATTCTACTATACATATGTATATACCTTTCTCTTCAACCACTCTATCTATTAAAAAACCCCGGTAGTTAGAAAGATTTAAGCGCACATAGGGATATAGGGACAAAGAAAGCTACTTTGTTTTATACTATGTAGTGATTACGTGTTATACATAGTAGCATCAAACACATTCACCATTCAAATCACGATAACTTTTCCCCTAATTTCTCCCCACCTGTTATCAAGCACATCATTTCTGCTTGGTTCTGCCGGCACACAGCAGGAGAAGAGCCAGCTTCCTCCACAGCCCCTCACCCTGGTCCCTCCTCGTAACCAGCAGGTGAGGGAGAGGGTACAGGGACGGACTTCCGACCCTAGGTTACAGGAACTTGGGTAGCCTAGCAAAGAGGCTAGCACCCGACTTGTGAGAGCTGGAAAGAAAGAAAAGATTTTATTTACAACAGAATATAGTGGAAGATATGTTCGTAGTTTTCGCCTACTTCCAGGAAAAAAGGTGTGAGTTTATGATTATTTCAAAAACGAAAAGTTCCTTAGGGCCCTTGTACTGTTTTTTGTAGGGATCAGGAAATTACTCTAGAGTTTTAGACTCTTCCTGACTTCATTAATCCGTTCCAACTTCTGCCCTATGCAGGCCACGGTATAGTCAAAGTCAAACTCACGGCCACGGTATAGTCTGTCAGTCTGTTTGTCAGTGAACCTGTGTAGGTGCTCGTTCCAAATTGTAGATTCGAATGGAGAAGAACGAGCAAGAAACTCCATAATATAAGAAACTCTATATGGCCACCACTCCTGAATATCTAACTTAAGACCCTTCGGCAGCCATACCACTGACTCGAATAAAGAGATAAATATTTTATCAGTAAAATTTTAATATTTTGAATTATAACTTACATTCGCCACCAACACTCCCTGTAACATTTAAAATAACGAGCGGTATCAGCCATTTGCTGGGCCGCCATCTTGTGTTCCGCGTATTCTTCCTCCTTTGTATGACGTTCTGTTGTCTATGGAGCAACGTTTGCCGCCATGACACGTCATGTTTCACCGTTGACATGGCGGTATCCCGCGGCAGTGGTTGGACATAGCGTGTTCTGTGACTTCGCTTTCGTTGAATACTTTATCTGAAGAGACAGAAATGTTCAATTGTTAAAATTTGATGAAATTATGACCTATACGCGGGAGAACCATGTTCCCAGGCTATGGGTCGACTAGGCTGGATTTTTATTTGTTAAGTGTGCTGTATGGGAGAGCCAAGCTTTAGCACGTACGGGTCGTCTCGACTGAAGTGATGTCACGGTCTCACAGAAAACCGGCGTGAACCAACGACTGCGCTGATTCACGCCACGTTGTTAATTTCGTCGTGTGTAAGGTATTACTAGATTATCTCTAACTATCTTAATCACTCGATGACATAGTTTATCTGGGAAATACTTTAAATATAACGGCGAGATATGCCTCTGTGTTTCAGAAAGTTTGCAACAATTTATCAATCTAACTACAAACATTAACATCTTAATTATAATCCGACTTATTTAGCAGGTAACTAATTTAATTAACTGGCGCTGCCTTCTTGGCGAAAGTTGCACGCGTCACTTCTTTTTTAGGCCCCGACCTCACTGCTTGTAACAGACACGCGTAAAATAAATATCATATTATAATACCAAGAGTGGGAGAGCTAAGCTTCGGCACGAAGGGGTCGGCTCGACCGGAGTGATACCACGGCCTCACAGAAAACTGGCGTGAAACAACCACAGCGTTGTATTGCGCCGTGTGGATGAGGTTACCGGATGCCCAATCCTTAAATCTCCGAAACCTTTATCCCTACAAGGCCGGCAACGCAGTCGTAACTCTCTTGGCGTTGCCGGTGTCCATGGGCCGCGCTGATTGCTTACCATCAGGTAATCATTCTGCTCGTTTGCTGAACTATACCATAAAAAATACTATAGTGGTTCCTTTATAGGTATAATATTAATCTCAAAACATCATATTATTATTATTTTATATCCCTCAAGCGGCGCAATCCCTACAAAGTATAAAACCAAGTCGCTTTCCCTGTCCCTATGTATGCTTAAATCTTTAAAACTAAGCAACGGATTTGGATGCGGTTTTCGGAAGGTAGAGTGATTGAAGTACATTTGGGGTTGAGCTTTTAGACCTAATATTACTATATATTGTCACTTAAATGGTTCTTTGTTGTACTTTTGTTCATTGTATTCATATCATTGTATTTATTTCGTTGTATTTTGTAACTTAACATTGTTGCAATTTTAGCATTTGTTTTTTGTTACTTTTTAATGTTGCATTTTTCTCTATTATTGTACATATCTTGGGTGCTTTGTGCAGCATGTCCGGTGCCGTATAAATAGTTTTTTTTTCTTTTTCTCTATCAAACGATGGTGGTGTAAACCTGACTCGTGGAGCGAGAGTTAAATTCCAAATGATCTTTTGATTTTTGTAGTACTTATCGAATTATCTAGAGATAATTTTTGTTACAATTTTACGTAGTTTAGTATTAAGTAACTTCAAATTACTTTGTGCGTATTTGAGTATTTAATATCCCTCCAAATTTACCTTCAAAGTAAATTAAATAATTTGCAAGTTGTAACAATATCCTAAGAGGGCATTACTTCTTTAATTTTTTCTTGTCAGGGGAAAATCATCAAATGACTTCTCTTGCGATGATGAGGCGACGAATGTCAGACTCTTACTGACTAAAAACCCTGCCGTTCAAACTCCTGCTCTAGGCCGAGGCCCCGGTTCCTACATATTGCGTTTGCCCCGCAACAACAGCTGATGGGTGATGACAGGAGTGACTGAATAGCTACTACCAGTTATGCGTTGCCCAACTCAAAAATCCTACTTGTAATAGTATAGAAATACCATTAAGTTTTTCGCCCATCCTAGGTGATGTGTAAAACAGTATCGGACTCTTACTAATTATAAACCATCCCATTCCTTTTTAACCGACTTCAAAAAAAGGAGGAGGTTCTCAATTCGATTGTATGTTTTTTGACGGAGTTCTGGAGGTAACAAACATAAACGGCACCGACTCCAAAAATAAGTAATGAATTTTGAATATTTGCAAAATATTTATGTCAAATAAGTTTACCTATAAATTAAGTTTCTTTACAGCATTTCTAATTTTTATTTTTAACTTTTTAGTATAGGAACTTTTATCGCTTGACATTTTTTGAAGGCGGTTTCTTTTTTTGGATTTTTTTTCCCGCTTTAAGTCAGAGACGCTGTTTTTTGTTTCGTTGACATATGTAGCCTAAGGGAGGCATATTTGCGGTGGTCTGATGACTCCTGGATGGAGGCGCGTCACTGTCCACATTCCATACAATTAAGCCTAGTTATGGTCGGCCGTCTACCCTTGCTCACCCAGAAACTCGGAGTGTCTCCTGCAGCAGCTAGGGCACTCCGCCTCCGTTTTTGCGCATTATTGTCGTTTCACTATAATTTTAAAGGTGGGCGAGATACATAATATGTTATATAGATTTACATATACATACGTGAGAACGGATTATTCCATTATTTATCCTATTTCAAGAGGATTAAGAATAAAAACCACTTCTATACCTTTTCCAACAAAATAAGAAACAATAAGATAAAATCCATTTAATATACCCTACGCCTTTCGTCACTTTATCCACAAACAAAACAAAAAAATAACTCAACTTTTTTCAACACTTTATCCATTTACATTTTACAAAGCGACTAACTTACAAACAGGCAGACAGACCGACTAATTTGTTATGTTAATTAGTTTTCACAAATCATCTTCACAAAGTATTGAGAGACCGGGCAGAGACAGACAAAAGACTTCAACTTTTCAAATTTTTTAGACAACTTTCTTCACAGAATATATAAATAAATAATATATTTTAGAAATTTCAAAGACAAAACTACGTCGAAAAGAGATTTAAATGAATTTGTTGCTTAATTTTTTTTTATGTAGTATGTCGGCAAACGAGCAGACGGATTACCTGATGGTAAGAAATCAGCGCCGCCCATGGACACCCGCAACGGAGGAGTTACGAGTGCGTTGTCGACCTTTTAGGGATTTGGGATTTGGAGATTTAGGGATTGAGGAGGGATTGGGGGAGGGGAAGGATTGGGCCTCCGGTAACCTCACTCACACGGCGAAACACAACGCTGTGGTTGTTTCACGCCGGTTTTCTGTGAGGCCGTGGTATCACTCCGGTCGAGCCGACCCATTCGTGCCTAAGCATGGCTCTTCCACACTTAAAACTGTAGAAAACTTAAAATTGTTACTGTAGCGTTGGAACTGGTTCAGGTCCGGTTCAGAGCTCTGGCAAAGTTTCGAGTAAGGGTAAGTCATCGTCCGAACACAACCAGACCCGAGCGAAAGGGCGCGTTGTGTTTCGCGTGCGCCTCAAAGAGCCAATAGACCACCACAGACGGGGTCCTATAGGGCTGATGTTCAGCCGGGGTAAGCGTAATGAGGCACCGCAGCCTCGGCGTAGAGCAGGAGAATGAACAGGGGGTTTTTAGACAGTAAGAGGCAGACACTCCCTCCCGCCCTAACCTGGGCCGTAGAAGCCATTTCATGATTTTCCCCTCACAAAAAAAAAAATCTTGCAAAGTCTATAAGGTTACAGGGATAGCGCAGTGGCAGCATTTGGCTGCGAGGGAGAACGGTTTCTGCAATCCTGGTTCGGTTGAGATGTGTATGTGAAATTTTGTAACACCCTTGACATTGGATACAATTTCTGGTGAGAGGCTAGGTTTTTAAAATTTGTCTATCTCACGGCACTGGCCTGTCTATCCCTTTTGTCATTTCTAGAACAAAAAAGAAAAAAATGGCCAGCTTGAAAATCGAAAAAGGTACAGTAATTTCGTAGCTAATCGTACTTAAATTAAAACAACTACAGATTATATACATATACAATATTGGATTAAAATGGATTTTTTTCTGTGTTCACAAATTGAACTGTCATTAGAATTTACCATTTAAATTATGCAAAAATATTTTTTTTCATATTTCGAATTTGGAATGCAACGAAAATTATAATCCGTATTTTTAATTGAATGTTTTAAAGAAATAAGTACCTATGCTATTCGACGCATTAAAACATTATTTCAAAACAAAACAATCACAGGTTTCTGTTTTCAACAGAAACCTGTGATTGCGAAAAAAGTAATTATTGAATTTGTCAAGTTCTTGTGTACATCATTTAAGACCATTATATCGAGGTAGCTAACCGAAACAAACCATACTAAACACCGTTTAAAAATTAAAAAAAGAAAGCTTTCAAATTACTGACATAGTTTGATTAACTGACCGACAGTCAGTGACCTTAAATAATAGGCGTTTGACCTTGAACCGGAAACCGTTTTGGTCAGCAAAAAATAACATTAACAGGCGGACAGTTTTAATAAATGTTTTTCTTTCCTTCCTTATTTCTTTTGCCGTGTCATTCCACTTCTTTGTTTTTGTGAGGGAAAAATGACTTCTCTCTCGTCCAGGGTGACGCGAGAGGGAGTGTCAGACTCTTACTGACTAAAAACCCTCGTTCCTTCTTCTGCTCTAGGCTGAGGCCGCGGTATCTTATTCCGCTTACCCCGCAACCCCGACTGAACATCAGCCCTATAGGGCCCCGGTCTGTGGTGGTCTATTGGCTCTTTGTGACACTCCGCTGGTGGAATATTATTCTTATCTACAAAAGAAGGGTTACCACAATATCAACGCTCAGCAGGTTGAAAATGGCAATTTTGAAGCCTCAGGTTTATCAGAGAGAAAAAACCGTTGGAGTAGACGTGTTCAAGAGTGGAGACCACGTCTAGGCAAACGTTGTGTAGGGTACCGTCCAGCTAGGTGGACTGACGATAACCGCAGGGTGGCTGGCAGTGGTTGGATGAGAAAAGTTGAACATCGAGCTCAGTGGCGTGCAATTGGGAATATCTATCCAGCAGTGGACAAAATCAGGCCGTTCCGCGGTCTCTGTCAGTAGTAGTAATTAGTCTGTATTTGTGATAACTGTGAGAAGACTAGTGCTGTATTGATAAATGTTTTCTTCTCTGCTGCCATCA